GGGGAGCTGGAGCTGCCGCGTGAGCATTTGCGGTCTCCCAGGGCGCCCGCACCGCGCTAGGCACGCCTCACTGGGTACCACCCACACTTGCTGAATCGCAAAGCATTCACCCAGGACACCGGGATGGACATTGCCTACGAACCTAGCCGAGTCAGAGCTGCGGGATGGAGACGCGTTCCTGTCTCTCCATGTGAGCCCGGGGTCCAACGGTGCTTGCCTCTGGTCACAGGGGCCAGCACATTCCTTTTTTATTTCCTTAAGCCAGTTTGAGTGGTGTTTCTCTTCCAGCAGGAAGAGTCCAGGTTAAATCTCACAGTCACCAGAACCAAGACCTGGGGGTGGGAGGCCTCCGGGAGGACCAGGTGAGTGGCCCGGTGGAGGCAGCCCGGGAGCCGCAGTCAGAGCTCGGGGGAAGCCTTGCTTTGCCCACCAGACACCAGGCAGACCCCTTTCCAAACAACACAGCTAGACAACAGCCCAGGTTTTCTTTCACTTTATCATTTATAAAGCCATACAATGGATCGCAAAGAAACAGAGCCGCCGGCAGGAGCGGGCAGCCTCGGTGTACAGCACATTCATGTCCAGGGTAAGTAGCGTAATCAGGGTTTATACAAGGCGGCCGCGGCTATAGGCACGATGATACAAATAGAAAGTATATTTCCATCTATATAAATACACAGTCAGGGCGCGGGAGGAGGGCGGTTACTCTGGTTCTCCTGCAGAGGGGAGGCCTGGGAGGCAGGGGAAGGTGGGATGGGGTGGTGAGGGACTCCTTACACTTGTTTTGAATGACACATCAGAGGAAGAGGAGAAATTAGGGAGACACATGCAGACACAGATGTGCCCCGCATGCACGCACACACACACACAAACACAACACGGACACAGGAGAGTCTCAACTGCTTAACACTGATTATAAAACCAACTTGGGACATCCCTCAACAACTGCCTCCCTCACTGCAGGGAAGAGCCAGGCGTGGGAAACAAGCACAGGTCCTCCCACATTTGGGACATCTGAGGACCACAGAGCTCACCCCATTACCGACACTGAGGTTCCACCCGTCGGGGCCCTACAGGCCTCGCCTCCCGATTCCTTCCTTGCCCGATGATATTGAACTTGAGATCCTCCTATTGCCCACCTCCTCCAACCCAGCCCTGCAGATCCCTAGAGAGAAAAGCAACATATGCACACACACACACCCGTACTTGCACACACCGCACACACATCCTATGTCACCACTGCCAGGGGACTCTGGTCTCCAGGTCCCGGGGCCTGGCCCTGGGGGAAGAGTGGCTCCAGGGCCCGGCCTCTGACCTCTGACCTCTCCAAGAACCCTAAGTGTGGGGAGACGCAGGGGCAGAGGCTGCCCGTGGACTTGGGCATGGGCCCCCTTGGCTCTCCCCAGGTCCTGAAGCTGGGAACAGAGGGAGGAGGCCCCGGGGCAGGGTGGCGGTGCACGCCGGGGCACAGGTGTTGTCTCACCGGTGAGGAGTCTGCCCATCTCTGCTCTCACCCATCCAAGGAGGAAGGAGAACGCTCCACTCATCTCCCTCCTGGAGCCCCTTCATGGAAGGGTCACGCTCGTCCAGCCAGCTGCCTCCTCTTGTGGTGGCACAGCCACCAAGCCCATCACCTGGTCCTGCCAGCCTCTGACACGCCCAGGGATCCCCAAAGCCCAGTGCAGGAGGGGTCCTGGCTGTCCACGAGCTTGGAGCGGCTGCAGGAAAGGCTGCCATGAGGACCAGGTGAAGGCCTTTCCCAAACCCAGGAAAGACATGTCTGTCCCTCAAACACTAGCTAGACAAGGGGGCCAGAGCACGTGACCTCAGGGGAGGGGATGCCAGTCACCTTGGAGGCTGATCAAACAGCTCGCTTCCTCCCTATTTCCCCTCTGGGGTCTGCTCTCCATTGTTCCCATGCCCGGTCCTCCCCTCTCCTTCCACCTGGGAAGAGCCACGTGGCAGCCCTGGGCCTGTGTCCCTGCCTCCCTGCCTCGGAGGCCTGGCTGGAGGGCAGCCAGAAGCAGGCGGGGTCTGGGGCCAGGCTGAGCCCGCCTGGGGCTGTGTGGTGAGTCACACGTTGACCATGCTTCTCCTGCACCCGCCCCAACCCACTCCCAGCCTCCTTTCAAGACCAGACAGCACTCTCCTGGCTGACAGACGGGGTCAACACTAAACAACAGCAAATATGTCGAGGGAGGGGGGGAGAGAAAGGGATAAACATTTACACGATAATAACAATAATTATTAAAAGTGCTTTCTTTTAAAGGACATCTTTGGCAAGAATATACTGCAGTGCTGCGGTGTGTGTGTGTGTGTGTGTGTGTGTGTGTGTGCACGCACTTGTGCGCATGGGTGCGCGGGCCCAGCCTGTGAGGTGGGAGGACTGCAGTGTCTTCCCAGCCAGTGCCTGACCCAAAGGGGGGAACTCAGTGGAGACTGAGGTGCCTTCCCCATTGCTCAGGAAAAGCCGAACTCTAGGAAGCCAGCTCCCTCCAGAGGGACCCAGAGAAGGGATGAAGCGGCTCCCCAGCGCCCCTGGGTCCTGCTCACGGGGTCGCCCTCAGCTCAGGTCTGGGAGGCGGGCTGGCCATGCCTGGGCGGTGGGCTGCAGTGGGCGGTGGGCAAGCGTGTGAGAAGGCTGACCCTGGGCCTGGGTCTGCCCGACGGTCCAACCCTCCGCTGGCCTCGGTGTGGAGAGGACTGGGCTGGCCAGTGGGAGGTTAGACACTGACAAAGGAAGGGGTGGAACTTCTCCTATGGAAGAGACGGGGGGGAGGTGGGGAAGGGGAGAGGGAATCCCAGGATCTGGCTTGAATGCCTCAGAAGGAAGAGCACTTTGGAAGAACCTCAGTCACCAAGCACACGTTTCAGTCTTTGGGAAGCGGGGGGCTGCACCCCGTCTTCGTTAGACACTCTCCTTTCTAACTCCCTGAAACAGTACGTCCACACAGATACAGCTTCTTGGAGAAAAAGTACAAAAGACACACACACTCCCCATGCCCACCACACGCACCCATGCCCCCCGCTGGCTCACACACCCGCTCCAGCCCTGGTGAGGGGGCTTCTCTTGGGGCCTGATGGCCAAGGCCTGGGTGGCCTGCCAGAAAACAGGGGGCCAGAGGAGATGGAACACGTGCACCCCTCCCTGCCAAGCCCCAGACAAGGTCTAGGGAAGGCCAAGGCCAGGGCAAGGAGACCCCTGATTGCTCCAAGAATAAAGGCCCCTGCTTTCCAGGCTCCCCTTGTACAGAGAAAGAGGGGTGCGAACTGGTTTTTGCCCAGGGAGGCAATAAAGCAATATGGGGAAACAATAAATACTTCTTGTCAATTTACCTATTCTTGTTTTAACCTTTTCTTATATTTTATTAGCTTACAGATTCTGTCAGTATGTCTCACATATATATTATATATATTTATATATCAGTACAATGCCTCTCTCTTGGGGACCCCCAGAGGCGTAAGAAGCCCCTTAAGAACAGAGTCCTGGTGACTTTTTCTATTTGAGCTGAGAGTTCTTGGGTGGAGGTCGGGGGTTTCCCAATTGCCCAGGTGGGCTCCAGGCCCTTTGGCCTAAAGGCACGCCTTCTGCGCTCTGCTCACAGGCAGCTTGACTCTGCTGGGGAAACCAAGGCAGAAGTGGGAACAGCAAGGCTTTGGTACTATACAGAGGCCATATGGTATATAGGCAGCAGCCCAGGGCTGAGTCACCTGGATAGCCCAGCAGGAGTGAGGCCCCAAACCCAGGCAGAGGAGAGGACAGGACCCCAGGGGTCCCCTGGGCCTTGCTGAGCAGGGCTCTTGAAAGCAGGTTCCCCAGGATGAGCCAAACAGAGGGACCCTGCAGGACAGAACAGAGCTGGGCCGATCAGGAAGGCTCGATCCCCAGCACCCAAAAAGGCATCATGCAGATAAGCCGGTCTGAGATAAGGCTGGTGCGGTCTTGGCAGCCAAAATGGGCCGAGGGCTGAGAGCTGGGGGGAGTGGCCTGCCCAACTTGCCACACAATTTGGGGAAGAGGCCTGGAGGTCAAAGCCACTGTGGCTGGTGGGTCTCTTCCCCAAGGCTATGGAAATGCACATTTCCATCCCTTCCAACCAATGGTCCCGCCTCCTGGCAGAGGCAGGGCGGTAGCCCCACTCCTGCTGGGGTCTTTGCCAAGGAGATGGGGCTGGCAGCACATGGGGCCAGTAGAGCGTGGGCACAGGGACCAAGCCAGAGCCCGTCAGCCATATTCCTGGGTGCTCCTGGGGGAGAAGGCTGGCGTCCCCTCCCTGATGCTGGGTCACCCCAACTCTGATCTCTGGACAGTATGTACATGTGTGCAAATATGGAACATGGACAAGTACACCTGTTTATAATTCTAGCTGAGAGTCGAATATAAATCTGAGTGTGAGGATGCGGGAGCAGATATATACACAACCCCACATACATTCCCACACAAACTATACATCAGAGGCAGAGCAGAGAGACCTTAGGTACCTCGGGTCTGAGATACTTTCAAAGCAAAAGTCCTGCCACGTGATGTTCCATGCTGGCTCCTTTCGGTTTGAGAAGGTACCCTAGAGGGGGCCAGAAAATGATTCTCTTGACTTGATTTCTCCTTGCAAAGCAGTTGGGCTATGGAGACATCTTTCTATTTCCCCCCCAAAAAAAATATGGGTCCCCAAGGAGGCCAGCTCTGCCTCCCGTGAGGAGCTGCGTCCTCGGGAAGGGCGAGAGGGAGTGAGGTGGACCTGCTTTGTTTTGGAGACTTTGAGAGTTGCGCAGTAGCCATCTACCCAAGGGAATCCGAGTAATCCTCCTCCATCCTTTTCTTTCTTTCTCTCCCTCTCTCCCCGCCCCTCCGCCATTCACTTCCCTCTCCCCATTTCACACTTTCTTCTCTCCTCCAAAATTGGCCCAAAGTCCTCCTTCTGGATTCAAAGGTGGTCAGGATTCATGGGACCCCTCCCCACATGCCCCATCCCCACTGCCCTGGCCCGGGGCATCGGGTGAGTTCATCTCTTCTGGCCCGCACTCAGCATGACCTTGGAGACGAAGTTGACAATGGCGGAGGCGGGCTGGTTGGGGTCGAGCTCAGCGAAGAGGTGGCAGGCGTTGTCCGTGGTGCTGCCCTGCTTCCGGGCCACGAAGCCGAAGAGCCTGTGGGGGCGGAAGAGGGGGAACAGGTGAGTGGGGAGGGCAGGGAGGGCCAGGCCTGGGAGAGGTAGGTGCCCAAGTGAGCAAGCTCATCTCCAGGCTGACTTTTCCCCCCATCTGTCCACATCTCCTAAGCACAGGGATCGGGCTGGGCGAGACCAAAAGAGAATCCTCTCTCTCTTCCACTGACAAGACAGTCCAGTGACAAGAAATGGCAGTGGCTCTGGTTTCAGCGCAGCATAGAAATTCCCCTTCTGCAGTGGAGTGGAGGAAGGGTAAGGAGGAGGAGCTGCACGCCAGTGACAAGACTGGACAGAGAGGTGGATATGGAACCAAAAATAAATGGAGACATTCCTAGCTGAGCTCCTCTCAGTCCATCTCAGCCCCACCCCCACCCAACTGTCCTCATACACCACCCAAACGCAAATAAATAAAATGCCGCCTGCCCGTCAAAGGGCCGGTCCTCCTCAGACACCTGGAGAAGGTCGGGGAGACAAAAGGACAAGGGTCAGGACCTTCTCCCACCATACACACATTTCTCTTGGGCTCCGGAGAATGGGAGGAGGGGGAGGGAGACCCCACAGCTGTTCCCCCGACCCCCACTCCCTGCACCAAGACTGGAGTGAGCTGGCATTCTCTCTGCAAGTCAGAGTTAAAAATATGAGAGCAGAGAACAGAATGTGAACTCAGGTCCCCTCCTAGCCAGCGTGTTGCTAATCAGAGTGAGATGGGGCAATGGGGACAGCTGGGGATTCCGATGGAAACCCTCTCCTGGGACTGGACCACAACAGCCAAAATTAGAAAAGTTGGGTCCGGCTTCCAGTCATGCACACGCATGTGTGTACACACCCTGGGCTTCCTACAGCTGTTTCAGGGCCTGGGAATCACCGAGCCAGAGGTCTGGGGCAACAGTCTAAGGAGTGGAAAAGCCTGGGGCCAAGACCAACCCCCCTGAATCCCCTTCCCAGGCTTGCTGGGCTCCTTGGTGCAGTGGAGGGTGCTCAGGGCACCAGCATGGAGAGGCTCTGAGCTGTGGGCATAAAGGCACACCAACCCTGGCGGCCAGGTTCTGCCATGGTGGAGGTCTGCCAACCTCATAGCCTAAACACCACCTGCCTCCCTCCCTTGATGTTTACATCAGCTCCAAGGCCCCCAGGGCCAGCTCAACGATAGCCAATTCCTTTCTCTGCTTAGGGAATGGATCCAGGCAAGAAACCTCAACCCCAGGGGCATGGAGAAGCATTTCTAAGGACCTGAGAGCTAGACCCTCTTTCCTTTGGGGCCTCAGGCATCCATGTGCCTCACCCTAGACTCATCCCCAGCTGGCTCCCTGGGCTGGTGCCCCGCCTAGCAAGGCCAGGTCAGCAGGAAGGTCAGCGCAAAACTAGTTCCTGAATAAGGAGAATGAGTGACAGGCCTGGGGCCAGCCCACTCCTGTCCCTGACCCCTCTCCCCACACAGAGCTCAGTGGGCAGTGAGCAGGAGCTTCCTCAGATATAAAGCTCTGGCCTCCTAGTTGGTGGCAGGGATACAGAGACCTGAATGAGCCCTGTGAGCCCAGGATCATAGGGTTCCGTGGAACACAGTTTGAAAACCACTACAGCATGTGAATGTTTACACATGTGTCCTATCCACTGTGCCAATGTTGGGCTTCTTGAAGTTAAAGTCAGCCTTCTGTTCAGGGTTAAGTGCCTCTGAGGTTCTTAGGAAATTCTGAATGAATGGAGGCATCAGCCAATTAGAATTCAGATCTTCTGGGCTCCATGTTCTGATGAATTCTAGCCCAGTCACGCAGAAGTCCACCCAGAGAGTAGACTGGGAATCAAGAAGACCAGGATTGGGGCAGAAAAGATCATTTAAACAACCCTTCCCCACTGTCATCACCTCATTAAACTCTCACCTTCCTGTCCATTTCCTCAGATCCCTACTAGCCTAGTCCTGGGAGAGGGAAGGTGACAAGATTGGAGGCAGAAGGCAAAAAACCTGATTGCCTGGTCCAAAGCTGAGTGACCCTCTCTGCCCTTTGCCTCCAACTAGTCCTGGATTCTCAGCCTGCCCCTGCTCTCCCCACTCCCAAAGAGGCCAGCCAGCAGGGATGGGGGAGAAGTCTCACTTACTTAGCAGGGGCACCTCCCTCCGTCTTCATCCACCTGTGGAGAGAGAGAGGGCACAGAGTAATCCACTACAGCTGCTCCCTGGAGCTCAACCCTGTGTGTGCCCAGACCTTCTGGGGGAATGCAGAGGAACCCGCTATGGGTTGGCGGACATGCAGATAAAGAGAACTGTGGCCTGTCTCCCAAGGTCCCTTCCCAGTGTGGAGAGAAGCAGATTCAAGGTCAGGGACAAGACAGAGAGGGGGCGAAAGTGGGCATTTGAGTCCCTGGAAGGGTCTCCAAATTTGTTGTGGAAAAAACTCAGAAAGATGCCCAGCACAGTTACTTTTACTCTCACAAGCAGATCTTTGAGTTGAACCAAAAATGCACACAAGCACACATATGTTCACCTACACACATATGCACACACACATAGAGAGACTTCAGTGTTCTAGAGCTGGCTGGGAGGGAAGGTGTCTACATAAAACTCACTTTCTCTCCTGTGGATCCAGGTCACAGAAGGTGACGGTGTTGAGAGGGTAGTGTCGTCTGAAGAAGAGCCTGCGGTACAGACATCAGATAGAGTGAGTGTTGAAGTGACAGATCAGGCCATCTTCCCATCATCTGTGGCTGCTGTAGGTCAACCCAGCCTCTCCCTTATGACCAAGATAACCTGGGCTGCTCACACTGGGGACATAGGCAATGCAGGGAGACAGCTAGATGTGTCAGAGAAACATCTCTCAAATGCTACAGGTTAGGAAAAGGAGAAAGAAACTGGCATTGGGGGATGAGAAATAGGGGTACCTTGGAGGAAAAAGGATGGGGCAGGGGAACATGTTAGAGACAGCATGAGAGGCAGGGCTCTGTTCTAGAAAGCAGGTTCTTTTGTCAGTTGCATTTGCAGCTCTATACCCAATGCAGGCATATTTGTAGAAAGATGGAAAAAGGGCAGATGGAGGCATAAATGACTGAAGGAATACATGGAGGACTATAGATGGGGGATGAATGGATGCAGAGATGGATGGATCAACTGGTGAGTAGGTGAGCAAGAGAATGAATGGATGGATGGGTGGATGGACAAATGGATGGATGGACAGGTGACCGGATAGGCAGGTGGCCGGATAGAGGATGGATGGGAGATAGATGGCTACAAGGAATGAGTCAATTGGTAAGTGGTGGGGAAATGGAAGGATAGATGGGTCACAGGAGGGTCTAACACAGAAGTGGGCTGAAGATTCTTACTTTCTCTGGTTGTCAGTGAGTGTGATTCCTTGGGCAGACACTTTGAAGTGAACGATGGTGGCAGCTGGTGTGGGGTCAGCAGCCAGTGTCTCAGAAATGGCTTTGGAGATGGCCTGGGGCCCAGTGAGCGACTCCATGTCCACAGAGTTGACGAAGAGCACGTTGCAGGCTGGAAGAAACCCACCCAAGGAGGCGTCATGGGGGCTGGAGTGGGTGGGGACCACCCCCAGGACCTCTCTTCAAACCAATCTCAAGCCAAGGTGCCTGAGCCCAGAAATGTGGTGTGCCCACCCAGAGACATTTGGTTCTGGGAGTGATGTCCAGCCTGCACCTGCAGGAGGGGACAGGGCAGAAAGAAGGAAAGGGATGGACAGGGTCTGGCCACTCACCTGCTCCTTGCTTTAGCAGGTCTGTGGTTGAGTTGGCAGTGCCCGAGCTATCTTTCGAGTCATCTGTGGGATCTGAGACAAAGATTTCATTCAGCTAGTAATTAAAACTCTAGACCTGGAAAGGATCCCCAGTCTGGATGGGCCTACGGCGAGCTCTGCAAATGCTTTGTGCAATGGATACTGCTTTTCATATCAGACCCTGGCAGCCGGTACGTGTGTGTCCAGTTGGAATGGTCAATACTTGCTCTCTGGTTGAGAGCTCCAGATTCCAACAGAGCTGGGTTGAAACCCTCAACCCAGGACCTGCTAAGTACCTATACAGTGGGAATGATGGTGATAGAAGTGTTTCGGTGGGTTTTTTAAATGCTCCATGTACAGTGTTAGCCCAGTGCTTGGCATAAGTGGCAGTTAGTGGTGCTGTGCTTTTGTATTGATGTCTGTGTAGATCAATAAATGCCCTCACTCATTAAACACTTAAATAGCACAATTATCATTTCAATATTAAAAAGAATCAAGTACCATTGACACCAGTGTTTTTCAGACTTTGCTGTGCAGACTTGTAAATGCCAGAGAACCTGATTAGGTGGGACTTGAGAATAGTTGCATTTGAAACAAGGTCCCGGGAGTGCTGATGCTGCTGGCCTGGGGGTCAGGCCTGGAGAACTATTTTTTATACAATGTACATATCAGTTTGATCATTGCTGAATTACTTTGGTAAATTCTGTAGAAATATCATTTAATTAGTGTCTAACTGTCATGGTTAATAATGCTATTTAAGTGGCATTTGAACTTTTAAGCTAATATTGTTGGTCAATTATCATTAATAATTCAATGAATCGAATTGGATACATAGAGACTATCAAACAATATTGGCGGTTTTCTGTGTAGGCAAAAACCTCAGGAGCTCCAAGAGAGAAGAGAGAGTCCCAGGGGCACTTCTGAAAATATTATTATTGAACAGAGGGAGAAGGCACCTTGGCTCCCAGTTTCCAGACCTCAAATTCAGGGCCAAGCATATTCTCCTCCCGTGGGCACTGTGTACTTGGGGACTGGGGATAGAAGCCTGTGCTACAATAGAAGCTTCGCTTTGAAGAGCTTGGGGTCTACCTGCCATCCTCCAAGGTGGGACACCCCTCTGAGAGAAGCTGAAACTTCCTTTGCTGGCCCTGTGTCTCACTCGGATTCTCATACTCTATGTCCTGAGGCTCTCGGCTTCCAATCAAACATCCCACAGCTCAGTGTCGCCTCGGTCAGGGGACATCCTGTCAGCCACACAGACTAGAAACTCCAGGGACATCTGATGGTCCCCTTTCCTTCCCACGCCATGCAGAGCCAGCCACCTCTCCTCTAAGAGATCCCTCCAGAGTGCTGTCTCCTATCCATTCAGGCCAACCTCCCACCGTGGAGCGCCCCATGACCTAAATCTGCCTCCTCTTCCCCTCCCCTCATCCCTGCCCGACGACAAGAAGCTTACCCTCTGGACAAGGTCCTCCCACACTGTCTCCTGGGATGAGGCTTATTCTGATAATTCATTGAATTTCTTTAAGCCTCTAGAGAATTTTCTAGAACAATCTGGCAAGTCAATTATGTACATTCCTGGAGTTAAGCTTTTAAATAAATGTTTCCTTTTTTTTTTTAAGTAGAAAAAAAAGAGGTGGTTTTAAGTTTCCCCAGATGGCAAAATGACCCATGTCCTCCAAGCCTGGCCCAAGCTCTGGAGTGCTGGCAGGGCCGAGAAACGAAGGAGGCCAGTTCAAGGGTGGGCTGGGAGATGGAGGAGTGTCAGGTTCCTACCTCGGTTTGGAATGACCAGCTTACAGGGCAGGGCCAGCGGGATAATGGAGTGCTGGTAGACCAGGGCAGAGAGAGATCCTGTGGGGAGGGAAATGGCATGTCATCGCAGCTTTGCTGGAAATAGGCTGGAGCACTGAGGGAGCCCACCACCCTACCATGATCAGCTTCTTCATTACCCTCCCACATCCCACCAACGAAACTGAAAATCCACTCCCTCTTAGTTATCGAGACCCACGGGAGAATATTCCAATGGCTCTCCCTAGCAGTGACAGGTTACTTAACAACTTTCCCTTAGAGAAAGTTACTCCCAACATCTCCCCCAAGCCCCTCCATCTGCCGGGGCCCCTCTCGGGACAGAGGGCTCATAGAGAACTGTGGGATCAAATCCCAGCTCAAGTCACTTATTAGCTGTGTTTTTATGTAAGCCTAACTTCCATGAACCTCCATGTCCTCACATGTAAAACTAGAGTCCTGGTGCACAAAGTTCGTGCAAGGGGCTCGCAGCCTTGGCTTTGTCCTGAAGGACTTCCGATCTAATTAGCATGTTACACTTTTATTATTTAGATGGGACAATGGCACCTACCACGCAGGATTGTCATGAGACCAGAAGGAATAGAAGGGACCTAGACAGTGACTTTCACATAGTAGGTGGGCAGTAAAGGAGACTGTTGCTATAGCTATTCTTCTAATTACAATGATAACAAGTCTCAGCGGGGCAGGACATCTATCAAGAGGAATCTGGCAGAGTGAAGGGCCTGGAGGACAGAAGAAGGGAAATCACTCTCCATTTCTCTGCTGTGTGCTGTGTCTAGGACAAGAGGGGTGGGCAGAACCCACGTGGGGGGTCGGAGGGAGAGGCCTGGGGCAAGCCTGGGACTCTCTGCAGGCCAACTGGGGAGACAGAAGTGGGGGAAATCTCACCGAAGTTTGGCTCGTTGGGGCAGCCCTTGAGCTTGACTCCTCGGGGACCAGTCTCGATCAGGAAATGTCTCACCAGCTCATGGGTCATGTCCCCTGGGATGAAAAGAAAGCAATAAGTACCAGTCACTTCTCATGGTGCCCTACCACCCCCGATTTCTGGCTTCTCCAGTGTGAGGGCTTTGACGGGAGAACCCTGGAATGGAGGGATGGCCTCTCCTTTCCTCCCTCTCAAGGAAACACAGTCACAGAGACCCAATAATCTGGCTTCCCTGTTCTCTGACCCCAACCATCACCAAGCCCAAGACTTGCTCTGCTAAAGAGGGTTTCGCAGGACCCAGCCCCCAGGAGAACTAGAAAACTGCCCAGCCCCCAGGTCCCTCTGGCTTTGCAGAGACCATATGGATCACCCTGCCCTGAAGCCCGGTTAGAGAAGACAGCGTTACCTTTCTTGTTCTGCTGCATGATGGTCGGAGGGGGAGAAGACACCTTCATGGCCAGCCCGTAGGCTCCTCGGAAGGAGTGGCTGTCCCGGATGATGAAGGCTCCCGGCTCCTGGTCCTTCAGGAGAGCGATGGCTGGGCCGGGAAGGGGGAATGGGGGAGAAAAGAAGAAATAAGAAATTGATGGCAACTAGCTTTCCTTAAGACTCATTGGGCCTCTGGAACCTCATTTTTTCTTAAGTGAGAGGAGACTCTTTAAAGTGAGAATTCAAACACTTCTAAGGATCTTTCTATACTGGAATTGGCAAACTTTTTCTGGAAATGACCAGGTGTAGATAGTTCAGGCTTTGCAGGCCATGCAGTCTTTACTGAAACTGCTCAACTCAGCCACTGCCACACAAAAGCAGCCTCAAACAGGATACAAATGAATTGATGTGGTTGTGTTCAATAACACTATAGTTACCAAACAGACAGCAGACCAGGGGGCCGCATCACCAACAACCTGTCCTGTGTCCACACCGACTTTCTCTAGGGGCCTGAGGTGGGCCTCGTCTCCACCCCGATAGCCCCAACTTCATTTTTCTGTAAAATGTACAAAAATCTCCCCTATTGTGCAGATGGAGAGCTACCATTTCCTACTATCGTGGGGCCGGCCTTTTACTTTGCCCAGAAACCAAGACTTGGCTCATTTTAAGGATCCTTCAAAGAAGTGCTTACAATCAACTGCTCTGCTCCCCCACATGTCACCAGAGTGACTGCTCTTCCTGTCTGACCTGGATCCCAGCCCCCTCTCTATGACCACCACCTACCGCAAAGAGGAAGGAGTCTACTTAAATTTCTTGCGCAGGGGAAGCAACGGCCAGCTATGACCTTAGATGGACCCCAGGGCCCCCCAGCACTCACCCTGCTCTCTGGAGATCTCGGGTTTGTACCAATACTTGGAAGTGTCCTGGACAAATTTCACTTTAGCCCGGGTCTCTGGGCTGTTGTCTAAAGGAGGGGGGAAAAGGCGATATTGGTTAAATTGTGCCCCCCAACCCAAAAGATGTGCTGGGGGTCCTAACTCCGATACCTGTGAATGTGACCTAATTTGGAAATAAGGTCTCTGCGTATGTAATCAAATTAAAATGAGGTCATACAGGATAAGAATGGTCCCCAATCCAATATGACTGATGTCCTCATAAAAGGAAGAAAAGTGACGGAGACACCCAAAGGGGAGAGCACCCTGTGGACGTGGGGGCAGATTGGAGAGATGCCTCTACAGCAGAGGGACACAAAGCACTGCCAGCAACAAGAAGCCGGGAAAAGGGCCTGGAGGCTCCCTCAGAGCCTTCAGAAGGAGCCAACCCAGCCAACACCTTGATTTTGAACTTTTGGCCTCCATTACTGTGAAAGAATAAATTCTGGGTCTTCAGCATAAAGTCTGTGGCACTTTGTTTCGCTGCCCTGAGAAAGTCAGTCACCTCACACATCAGCAGAGTATTGCTCAAAGGCCCTGAGCAGCTGTGGCACCCTCTCTGTCCACCACCAACCACATGTGCCACAGAGCTGCTTTCCTGCTGAGGGGCTGGCACAGCATTCTCCCTGGGCCAATGAAGCCCCACTCCACCCCATTTCCTTTCTCTACAAGATTCAGACTAAACCCTTCTTGCAGCTTCTTTCCCACAGTCTAGTTCTGGCCTCTTTCTCCAGAGGCTCAATGTCCCAACTGTGTCATAACAACCTTGAGGACTGGGCAGAAAGACCATTTCGTTCCACTTCTCCCCAGTCTCCTCCTCATTCCCATCCGGAAAGCTCAAGTTCTTTATCACAGAGGACAAAGGAGTCGCTCCTGATCTAGAACAAACAGGGGAAGGTTTGGCCTAGAATTTGAAAGCCATCTCATGTGTCACATACCCCACTTCTCTGGCAGATGCTCCCACCCCAGACCCTCTGCAGACTTGGGATTATTTCACAGAACAATAGGTTCTAGAAGGACCTCTGAGGGCATCTAGTCCAACCTCCTAACTCTAAAATGAGGAAAGTGAGGTTCAGAAAAGGTGAGTGAGCTTCCCAACCCATGTGTGAGTCTTTCCATGGGTAACAGAATGGGCTCCTGTTAGACCTTCCCTAGTGAGAAGACCCAGCAGCCAGTTCGGTGCCTGTTACACCATAGCTTCCTGCTATGTATTAGGATGTTGTCCCTCGCTCTCCAACCTCTTCCTTTATCTTTGGGAGCAAAAGGAAACCAAAAGGGGGGAGTGGGTGAAGAGGGGAAAGGAATATTCCAGTGGCACATGTTTCCTCTCCTTTCTTGAGAGAGAGGCAGAGCAGAGGGAGCCTGTGTTGATGATGTGGTAAGGCTCAGGGCATCCAGACCAGGGATAGGAGTGGGTTGTGTGTCCAGTGCTTAGTCAATTTCAGCCTGTCAAACTCTGGTAGGCTCCTGGGACCTGTCTCTGGAGGACAGTGAGGGGCTAGATCAGCTCCCTCTCCTGAGCTGTGCACTGGGGGAGGCCTCTGGGCTAGCCAGCTGGGCCATGCAACTGCTGCAAGCTGCCTTTCTCTGCTCTGAAGCCCCAGCCGCTGGTGCTGAGCCTAATGAGCTGTCAGAGGCGGCTGCAGCACCATGTGCCTTCCTGTGTTGACTCCAATGGCTATTTTAAGCAGGGAAGATGGTGGGAAACAGGAAATGTCCCAACTACTAGAAGTTTTGCATCCTCCAAGGAGAGGAGCTGGGAACCAGATGTCTCTTGTGGGCAGCAGGAAGCAGGGGCGTGCAGGAGCGCTGCAGAGTCCTGGCTTGGCAGGCTCAGGGCAGGACCTAGCAGTGACATGCTGAGAATCCAGGCAGCTGGGGCCCATTCCAGGCTGCCCCAAACATTCCCCATCTTCTTCGAATGCCTCGGGGCCCCGGGGTCCTCCGCACACAGGCAGGTTTCAGGTCTGGATGAGAAGCTGCCTATCAGCTGAGGCCTTGACCTCTGTGTCTGGATAATGAGCCCTCTCAGCAGAAGCCAAAAGGCTGAGCGCTGGGGCAGCGTGAAGAATTCAGCGTGCAAACCTGCACAGGCTTCCGTGGAGCCGGGTTGGCAGGAACTAGACTCCAGCGAAATGCCCTGCCCGTGGCCCGTATCACATCTGGCTGCCAGATCTATTATTAGTCATGTGTGCGTCGTGGGGGCCCAAAGACGGGAACAAGGGGCTGGCAAAAGGCTTGGCGGCCCAGGTTTGGAAGGCAGAGTATCAGGTTATACTAAATCTCCAGAACCCTCCAGAGAGAAGCATGATCCAACAATTCCAATGTTTTAGCAGCACTCATTTGGGTAGTGTGGGACTGGGTTGGCAGCCCGGCCCTGCCATTTCTTAACTCTGTGACCCTGGACAAAGACTGAGCCCTCCACGCCCGTTTCCTCGTGGGTGGCTGTGAGGATGAATGAGAGACTGCTCAGCTCAGAGCCTGGCGCACAACATGTGCCCAACAAAGTGGGAGTGGCTCCGTCATCGTAACAATAACACTGACATTATTATTATTGTAATATTTTCACCATCCTCCTCACCTTCATCAGCAGCTTCATCCCTGCCCCACAGTCACCACAGCCTTAGCACAATTAATTCCTCTGAGGACACCTCCAAACCCCATTAAACAGATAAGGCAGCTGAGGCCCACGGCCAGTGAGCCACCCCCGGTTATCTGCCAAGAGGATGCCAGAGCAGTTCAGATCCCTCACGGGTGGGCTGAACGTGCCGGCAGGAGACACAGAGGCGAAGGGGAGGCCCACCTGGCATGGAGTACTTGGAGAAGTCGGGCAGAGTGTGTGAGAAGGAGACAGTGCTGCCCCCGCTGGGACTGGACATGCCGCTGGCGACAGGCGAGGATGACACCTTCCCGTTGATGGTGGCATAGTTGGGGAGGCTGCCCACTCGGTCTCCCATGGACATCCTCCACTTCTCTGGCAGGGCTGGCGTCGGGCTCCCTTGCCGGAAGGCTGCCGAATCTGGTGAAGGGGAGGTGGCGGGGCTGCTCAGGCCCGGGTAGTAGGCAGGAGACACGGGGAAGGAGGGCGTGGAAGGAGCCTGGTAGCCAGAGGCACTGCTCTGCCGGGACAGTGTGGGTCTCCGGTCCTCAGGAGTGGAGTAGCCACCGTAGGCCACGTGCCGATCTAGGCTGGGGCTGCCAGGAACCATGGATCCAGATGCTCCGAGATGACGGCCCAGGCTGGGGCTTCCGGGGCTGGACATTGCGTTGCTGTGTAGACTGGAGGCCAAGTTGCCCTGGTGGGCCCCAGGATGCCGACCCAGACTGGGGCTCCCTGGAGTGGTGGCCACGCTGCCTGGGAGGCCTGAGGCTTGGTGGGCCCCCGGCTGCTGGCTGCGGCTGGGGCTCCCTGGAGTGACAGCCACACCGCCATGGAGGCCTGAGGCCTGGTGGGCCCCAGGGTGCCGGCCCAGGCTGGGGCTTCCTGGAGTGGTCACTGCGCTGCCCTGGGGGCTGGAGACTGCGTTACCATGGAAACCGGTTGCTGGTGGGCCCATCACCTGGCGGTGGCTCACACTGGGGCTGCCGGGGGCAGCCATGCTGGGGTTGACAGCTCGGCGGCCAAAGCCGGGACTGGAGGGAGTGTTGGTGCCCACTGTCCTGTGGCGTGCCTGAGGGCTCCCGGGGACGGCGTGGACACCGGACGCGTTGAACTGAGGCCGGGCCTGGCTCTCCGGGGAGCCGAACTGCTGGAGTGAGTAGTCGGGGCTGCTGTAGCTGCTGCCCACAGCCGGGAGAGGAGAGGAACTCTGGTAGCTCCTCTGAGCAGAAGGGCTGGGCTGGCCCAGGCTGCCGGAGCGGAAGCCAGAATCCAGCAGAGGCTGGGTGGGCGTCCGGGGGCCCTGGTCACTGCTCTCCGCCGATGGGAAGCTCCCCACCGAAGTGCTGGAGAGAGAAAGGGCAGATGGAGATGTCAGCAAAGGCACTTAATGAAGAGCAGGTTTCCAGGGAGCACGCAGACCTCCCTCCCGCCGCCAGCAACAGCAGCGAGTTCCACTCGCACGCATGGGAACGCCAGGCTTTCACATCATCCCGTGGCACCATCCGAAGAAACTGAGGCTCAGATAGGTTAAGCAATTGGCTCAGGATCACACGGCTCATACAAGACCAGGGTTTCGAGTCAGCTGTGTCTGATTCCAAAGCACATGTTTCCCCCACTGTACTCCTCTGGCTCCCGAACCAAAGTCAAAGCGAGACGCGCTCTTACATCGACACTGAAGGTGTCTAATGAACAAAATGAACAACCAACAAAATAGGAGCAGACTTCGAGATAGAGCACAGACTGACAGCTGTGAGAGGGGACGGGTGGAGGGGGGCTGGGTGAAAGGGTGAAGGTATTAAGCCAAGGAGGGAAACTCATAGACACAACAGTTTGGGGATTACCAGAGGGAAGGGGGGATGGGAGGAGGTAGAAGAGGGTGAGGGAATGCCTGGTGAAGGAAGGACACAATACAATATACAGATGATGAATTGTAGAAGTGTACACCTGAAACCTGTATGATTTTACTAACCAAGGTCACCCCAACAAGTTCAATGAAATTAAACTAAAACACTGAAGGTGACTTCTGGTCAAACTCCACATCAGAGAAACTAAACACTGGCGAGAGGGCCAAACCACCGGGATCCCGTTCCCACCCTGACTCAGTCTCCCCAGGTGTGCCATCGCCACCTGGAAATGCTGTGGGTATCACAATTGTGCTTTTTACAGAATTTGTAGCTCCAAAATCCAAAGGTAAGGAAGTCTCATCGAGGGAGATTTCAGCTCACTATAAGGTCCGCTCGCCAGCCACTGGACCTGGCCAGTAGCGGAGCGAGCCGCCTTGCACAGTAATGAGACTCACATCACGAGGAGCATTAGAGCAAAGGGTGGCTAACCTCCTGGCCTGGCTGTTGTGAAGGAGTATCTTCCATGGGAAGGTTAGGTTAGAAGCGCTCAGAGATCGAACCCAATTCTAGGACTGATAAAATTCAGTTCAGAGGAGAGTGCGCCTGGCCACAATCAAAGGTTCTCCTCCGAAGTTCAGTCTGAGATCAGAGGGAAATACAATGCAATGGCCTGTGAGTTGGGAAACTCGGATTCTGCTGTTCAAGTGTTCCCATGTGAAAAAAACAAGGGGGTTGGGCGCGATGGCCCTGATTCTTTCCAGATACAAACTCCCATCCCTCGATGACATGGCAGGAGAGACAAAGGTTGGCAGGGACCTCGCATGAGCAGCAGCTGCAGGGCGGTGGCAGGCAGGCTCTGCACCGGGAGGCCCAGCGGGAGGGGGAGCTCCTTACAAAGACGATGGGCCAGAGCCTGGAGCTGGCGACCGGGAGGCTTCTCCAGGCGGCCAGCCCGCTGTGGACCGGTCGGATAAGCTTGGGTCTTCTGGGTGGTGTGAGGGGTGGGGGGCCAGGCCAGAGCCAAGGGTAGGGTAAAGTCAGGGGTCAGACCAGGACAAAGTCTGCCTCCCAGCCCAGAAGGGGCCAGATTGGAAGCAAGGCCACGTCCTGGAAGGAACAGCCTGTATTCTGTGGCAGGGAGGATGTCAGGCTGAGAGGGGCGGGAGTTCTGGAAGACCAATCCCCGAGGGAAAACGCTAGCTTCCTGAGCCCCAAACAGAGCCAAGATCGCAGCGGGAGGCATGTGAGCGGAAACTTCCTGCTGTCAGGGCTCTCCGGACACCTGCCACGGGGGCTGAGGTGAGGAAGACCCCCTTCCTTTCAAAGAAGACCCTACCTCCGCCCAGAGGCCGGCCTCCCGAGAAATGGAGCCCTCCGCCCCAGCAGGAGCCTGGAGGGGCAAGGTGGACAGAGGGTGGTGCATGCTGGGCTCAGGGTTTCAGAATCCTAAGAATTCTGGCTATGCTGTCCTTCCAGAAAAGCCCTCACCCTCCCACCTCACCTTTCCACACCGTGCTCATCCAGCCCAGGAATCCTCCCTGCACCCCACGGCCCCTTGCTCTGGGTTCTGAGAACTTTACATCTGCGCCTGCTTTGGGCGCCTCTGACCGACGGGCTCTGTACCCCGTCAGGTCTGGTCGGGAGGCAGAGACGTGGGCTCCCAACTAGAGGCCTTGGGTCTGAATCCCATTTCTGCTACTACTGAGCTGCAGGACCGTGAGCAAGCTGCTTCACCGCTCTGTGCCTCAGTTTCCCCTTCTGGAACGTGGGAGTGAAAATAGTACTTACCCCATAGGATTGCTGGGAGGATTAAATAAAATAGCCACAGGACACAGTTAGCCAAGCGCCTGGCCATAGGAAGAATGCTCTACCGCACGATCGATGCTGCTGGATTCTAACCTTGGGGGAGGGACCCCGCCCGGTTCACCTTCGCACCCCCATCCCTTCCAGCACAGAGCTGGGTGGTGGGATTGAACGCGGCCTGAGGGGACGCTCCCTCCAGGTGCCCTGAGGAGCCAGCTTCCTAGGGACAGCGTCTGGATGTTATGTCTGCCTGTCCACACCCTGAGAGGATCCCAGAGGCCTTGCCCATGCTGACGCAGGCCTGGATTCTCACCGCCCACATGCTCCTCCTCCCCACTCACCTGTCGGCGCTGAGGATGGGGCTGCTGGTGGAGAGGGGGCTCGGGGAGACAAAGGAGCCGCCCAGGGTCCCGTTCCTCAGGGGTGTGTCATGGCCGTAGGCCGGGGCGCTGAAGCTCTTGGGCTCAGGGTCCTGAGGTCGGGGCCCGGCCACCGCCGTCCGCACCACTGACTCGACGTAGCTCCGGGGCTCTGCAGGCAGCAAGGAGACGGCGAGTGAGCACAGGTCCACAGGGTGCCGTGGACCCCACCCAAACTGCCAGGCGCCACCTCTCCAATGTCAAGCCTTGGGGATCCAAGCACACAAAGGGCGCTTCTGGGGCTCCTGCCCACCCTTGCCCACCCCCCTCTTCTGCGTCTCAGAGAAGCTGTGGGCGCCCCACAGAACCTTTCCAGGGCCTCGCTCAGAGCTCCCAGGAAGGGACCCCGGCTCTGCCTCTGAACGTGGTCACCTCAGAACCTTCCCTCCCAGAGCCAGGATGCCCGTCCCCTGCTGGCATCCCTCCCAGCTGCTTCTTCTCTTTCACGACGCTGCCCCCAGCCCCCAGGCCCTTCTAGTACTCCAGGTACTGTAGGTACTCTCCGTGCACCTAGAACGCCAGCTGGCCTCGCCCCTATGTGGACAGCGCCAGGCTTACACAGGCTTCACCCCACACCCAGAAACCCCAGACGGGCTTGTTGTCCTCCCAGCAGGCCTGCGCCGGCGAGTCACGCCCAGCCCCTTCATGCCAAACACACCCAGCCCCCGGCCTGACACCCTTAGCATTCCTCCCGAGCCTCACACCATCGTCCCCGCGTGGTGTTCAGAACATCCTAAGAGGAAGGGGGCCGGGGGACCAGGGGCCAGAAAGGTCACCTGACATCTGAGGCCTGGAGAGTGAGATGCCGGGAGACCTGGCCAGGGCTCATCCAGCTCCCCGCTCCGAGGCCAGCCCCACGCTAACTCGATATGAAGCAGGGAGGAGCAGCAGGACGCCCTGGGCTTCTCCAGGGACAGGATGAGGGATGGATGACATCCTCCACCTCCAAACCTGGCGCAGGGTCCCATCCTCCGCAGGAGGGACATGACTGAGCAGAGACACACACTCTGTCCGCAGTGCTGGAGTCTGCTGAAACTATAGCCCGAGGAACCGAAGAGCCTTGCCTGGCCAGGCCCCAGCACCCTTGTGGCCAGGACTGTGCCGGTCACTGAGTCAAAACAGCCCCTCCCATCCCCAAAGAAAACACTACTTTGGAAGGAGTCAATCACCAAGGCATTAGGAGGTCCTGGCGTGGCTTCTGAAATGGCCTCAAGATCTGACATTGCATCCAGGCCCAAGGTCTGGGAGTTCTGTGTGCAGCTCCAGCCAGAGGCTGCCCGCGGGTCCTAGTTTCACAGGGTTCCCTCCAACCCACAGCAGGGGCAGTGGGTGGGGTGAGTCAGGTTGTCTGCAAAGGGGCAGCTCGGAGCAATCTGTTCCAGGTACGGAGTGCAGTGTGAGGTAGCCCCAGCCACCTCGGCACTCAGAGCTAGAGTTCACGTGGGCAGAGGTCAGCGAGGCATCAAGACCCCGCTTAACCAGCCCAGGCCACCTACCCACCTCACAGAAGCCCCAGGCCACATCCGTTCCAAAGGCAGTGGTGCTGTGCCATCTGTGCCCAAGGCCCTACCGGAACCAGGAGATGCTACAGAGGTCCTCTGACCCGGAGCAGGCCCACTTTTTTCTTGAAAAGAACCTGGTAGCATATATGTTAGGCTTGGTGGTCGGACAGCCTCTGACACAACTACTCAGTTCCCTATTGCAGAGTGAGAACAGTTGTGGCAGCAGTACATAAGCCAATGAGCATGTCTGAGTTGCAATAAAACTGTCTTTACAAAAATAGATGGTGGATCAGATTTGACCAAATTTGCTTACCTCTGACCTAACCCATCTCCTCAGCCCAGAGAGGTGGAGCGATTTGTCCCAGAACACGGCCAATCAGTGGTTGTGGAGACTAGCACCACGGCCTCCTGATTCTCAATGGTGGCTCAGAGTGGCCTAGAGAGGGGCCAGTCTCACGGGGGCACCCAGAACTGGCTGCTACCCAGAACTCCAGCCCAGCACCAAGAGAACAGCCAAATCCACAGGCTGTTAATAATGATAAAAATAGCCCTGGCTGGTGTTTCTCGGTGGTTAGAGCATTGGCCTACACATGGAAGGGTTCGATTTCGGGTCAAGGGCACGTACCTGGGTTGCAGGTTTGATCCCCACTGGGGCACATGCGTGAGACAACCCGTCAATGTGTCTCTTACATTGATGTTCCTCTTTCTCTCTCCCCCTCCTTCCTTCCTCCCTTCTACTCTCTTCTATTGAAGAAATATCCTCGGAGAGGATTAACAAAATAATAACAATAATAATAATAAACAACGATATATGAAGTAGGATTTGGGGAATGTCAGTATCTTGCCCAAGTCATACAGAGGCAAGTGGGACCAGGTGGTCTGACCCAGAGCCTAATCAGGGAGCTGATAATTTCAGTGTATCTTTAGCCTTGGGAGGCTGGCTCTGTGTCCTGGGGTAACCCAGCTTGGCAGAAGGGGGCCTCACACCCTCCCTGCCATTCCTCACTGCCTGAGGTCACTCCTTCTGAAAATTCCTCCTGAGCCCTTCCAGGCTCCCAGCCTCACCCACAGCACTCAGCACACATTCTCTCCCACCCAGAGACAGCCGGAGGGTCCACCCACCCCCTTGTGCTGTGCCTGACACCTCGTAGGCCCTTGATACGTGTCTGTCCCACAAACCAGCAGATGCATGATCTCTACCCTCCAGCCCTGCCCAGACAAAGGTGCGTCATAGCTGAGACCTAAGAGGCAAACGTTCATTTTTCTCATTCCCTGGAAGTCTTGTTGACTGCAAAGCTCCAGCTAAAACCCACATGACCTCTGAAGCGTGTGCTCTTTTCCCACCAACAATGCCTACCCCCAGGTCCATGTAGACCTGTGTGAAGTCCCTTTGAGAAATTTCTGCTCCTCATGAGCCCAGAGCAAGAGGAACTGGGGGAAGTTATTTAGTTTCTGAGTCCATCTCAAGAACTGTTCAACACCAACCTTTCAGGCCAAAAACTCCATTTTCCCAAGTTTCAGACTCGGATTTCTATAATGAAAATTCCTTCTTTTTCTGTCTGTTCCTGCCCCGCCCCACCTCAGTACCACATATAACTTGTGGGCTCCCATTTTTCCAGTCCATTGCCTTAACCACTCAGTCATGATTACTGCACGGGCTCCCAGTTTTCCACTTGCTGGATGGGTGACCTGGGAGAGGCTGCTGAATCTTTCTGGGACTCAGTTTCCTCATCTGCAAAATGGGAATGAGAATACGTACCTGCCCAGCCAGGATCAAGCGATATGAGTTTCTTCTAATTCTTCCTTGGTGACTCCAACTAGCTGTTTACACTCGGCACCACCATTGCCCTCCTGTGCCCCTGCCGGGCCTGAGCCCCAACTGGGCCTGCGCCTGTCTCCCTCCACCCTCTTTCCTGCTGCTTCCCTCCTCTCCGCCAATCCTGGGGCAGCTGCACCCAGAGGCAACAGGGTTGGGCATGGGGGGAGGGAGGGGGAATGGAGAGGTGGGGCCAGGGAGGGTGCTTCATGTAGAACATTCCAGGAGCCCAAACCCATTCCAAGTGGCTGTTGGCGGCTAAGAGTAGCTGGAGACCCAGGAGAGACTTGGCCCCACCAGGCTAAGGGACTGTCGCCTCTTTACCCACACCCTAAAGTGCATTCTCTGCCTCCCAGGAGAGTCTCTTGGCCTGGACAGGAGGGCACCTGTCCCCCCTACCCCCACAAGTAAATGAAAACTTGTGGGTGGGGAAGAGGAAAGAAGTAAAGAAACCCCAAGTCCCAATCCACAGCTCAAAAGGTCAGAATTTCAGACCTTTCCGATTGGGCCACATGCCACTCCTTGGAGTTCCCATTATACCCTAGCCCTGCCCTGCTCTACATTCCACCTGAGGCTGAAGTCTCACTCGTGTTTATATCCTCAGTGCCTCGGACAGGACCTAGCACACAGTATGTGCTCAGTAAGTCTGCATAGCACACCACTGCCCCAGAATCCCAGGCGCTACAGTACACCCAGCACCAAGGATCTCAGAGCACAAAGAACCCCAGGAAGGGACATTTCTTGATCCATGTGTCTTCTTTTATGCAAAATCGGCGCCATCTAATCCTCGGGAGGAGCAGAGCCTAACCTGACCGCCCCCTTTCCCTCTCCTCCTGTGTCACTGAGTAGATGTTCTTGATGTTGGCCTCCCGTCTTTACTGCTAAAGGCTTTCCTCCTCTCCTTTCTCCAGGGAAGAGTACCCAGTCCCCATGCCGAGGAAAGTCACTGTTTATGCTCAGAGGTTGTGCCCATGGCAACCACATGGAAAAGGGCATCACCCACATGCTGATCTGATGTAGGATCTCAGCTGTTTCTGACGGATGTGTGGGCCTAGCCAAGTCATCTAACATCCCCCAATGTCATCTCCTCATCTGAAAATGGGGTTCCTAGCACCTTCTTCTCAGTGTTTCTATGATTATCTAACAAGATGTGAAGTGACCCCACATGGTCTTATTGAACCCCACTCTGTACCACAGTCCCCTTAGTATCCTAATTACAGCCTCCAGCTCCCCCTTGCGCTCAGCCTCTCTGACTTTGAAGTTCCTTAAAAAGCTCCCACCCAGGGCCTTTGCACATGCCCTTTGCCTCCGCCTGGAATGCTCTCCTTCCATCCCAGTTCCACTGAGTTGATGTCACTCACTTTCACATCTCACTTCTTCAGCCAAGGTCAGGGTCTTTACCATCAGGTCCCCTAAAACTTCATCCCTTTCCTTCAGAGCACTGATCTCGCTATGTCATCCTGAGTGATCATTGAATTCTGGCTCCTGTTCATGCATATGCTCCATGAGATTAGGAACCATTCTATCCCCGGAGCCTGGCCCGGGGGCTGTCCCATAGTAAGCACACGAAATATGTATTGACTGACTGAATCAATGAATGACAGGACAAATTAATAGAAAGCATTTAGCGTGGTGCCTTGAACGGAGCAGAGTCCCCTGCAGTCTTTCTTTCCCCTGGCTGAGTAATTCTGCCTCTGACCACTTTCTCACAGGCATTTCTTTTTCCCTCCATCAAAGTGTCAGCAGGGAAAGCAGAGCTTCAGAGAGTCAGCAAAGAATGTGCTTTCGTCTGACCGGGAGGCAGCACATGAGTCAGGAAAACTGAAACTGGCTGCCCACAACCTAGCTCCCTGCCCCAGACCCACCCCTCAGGCCATGGCAGCAATCCCGACCCCCACGCTGCAATCTCAGGGCGCAGTGCCTGGATGCTGGAGGAGGGCTTTGAAATGGCCACCTGACTAGGAGACAGGAGATATTTCCACTCTCAGCCCACTGCCTTCTCACGGTGGCCTGGGCCAGATGCCCTCACCTTCTGCACCAGCAGGACCTCAGCTCCACAGCTGTGAAGTGATGGGTGTGGCAGGGCTGATCCCTAAGAACCTTCCCCTCCTAATTCTGTGGCTTAAGGCCAGATAGAAGGGTTGGGGTGGGGGAGGACTGGAGGCCTTGTAGGTGAGAGTCACGCGTGTGGACAATGGGCAGGTCTCAGCTCGGTACTCACTCCTCTGAAGTGCCATCCCAAAGCGGAAAAGAGCCAGGGCCTGTCAGCCTGTGGGACGGTCCCCCTCAAACCTTCCCACGGCAGAGGGTTTGAGGGTCCACCAGTCTGTTGGAGTCAGCAACCACGAGGAGAGCGTGGGTGGGCAACGGTAAGACACAGATGCTAGCTCTGGGTCCAAGCCTGCTCTACACTCCTGTCCCAGCCTCCCTGTCTGTCCGGAGCCAGCAGCCAGGAGCAAGCTGCAGCTCACCCCACGCTGGGATCAGTTGCTAGGGTGCCTTCTTCTGCAACCTCCTGGCAGCCTGGCAGCCTGGCTTTCAGCCCAAACTCCGGCTGAAAGTGGGCAAAACTTTATGGAATCTCTAGCCATCCTGCCTGGGGGATGGCAGACTCAGAGCGGCTCAGCCCACGCCTGCTTTGGGAGCAGAGTATCAAGGCGGTAAAGTGCAAAGGAAAGCAGAAGTGGGTTTAAGAAAGCCAGGCCACAGGGACCTAGGGTCCCGGTGGGAAGTCAGAACATCTAACATGTCAGGCTGGAAGGTGCTTCTACACTCATCTAAGCCCCCCTTGGTGGAGATGGCCTGGCCACACCAGGTGCCCCCAAACCACACCAGGCCACCCAGGCTAGCACCTTCCCCTCTCCCCCGTTTCACCTGCTGCTGAGTCATCATTTGAACTCTGTTCCTAATAACTTAAAGGCTTTCAACTAGACTGTGTCCCCTTTCTGCTTCCCGTGTACAATGTGGAGCTCATCTAAATTAGGGGTCAGGCGGAGACACAGACATGCTAACGCCTTGAAACCGCCAACATTATGTGTATGGTGTCCAGATGCACAGGGGTGGGTCCACAGCTTTTCTGAAAACCCCGAAGGCATCAAAATTCCAAAAAATAGACCTCCAACAATCTGTGTTGATAAGAGACTGGGCAAGAGCTTCAAAAAGTCAACTCATGGCTCTAAGACAGTGGTTCCGATCGGTGACTGTCCCCTTAGGGACACTGTCCATGTTGGAGACATTTTGGTTATCATTGAGTAGGTGAATGCTACTGGCATCAGGCAGAGGCCAGGGATGCTTCTAAACACCCCACAATGCACAGGGCAGCCCCACAACTAAGAATCATCCGGCCCCAAATGTCAGTAGTGCAACGCCTGTTCCGAGCTCTGCATGCAAATACACCCAGGAAATGCAATAATGAGCCCCTGCCCTGCGTGAGTCTCCTCGCCCTCCAAAGGGGCTTGTTGTGCCCCAGGAGGCTGGCAGAAATGTCACTGGGGTGGCAGCAACAGGGGGTGTTCTGTCAGCAGGGCACCTGGGCCCCAGCTGTGCCTGAACCCGAGCCACGAGCTCCTCAGTCAGGGCTCAGGCCCTTTCTGGGGGCAGCTCCTCACCAGGGGGTAGGGACCAGGAGGCTATGTGCCTGGTCACTTGCGATGTGGCCAGCAAAGGGCTACCCCAGCCCGCAGCCAGCCAGCTCTGTAGGAAAAGCCATGCCCAGACCCGGACAGCGGGAAGCGGCACACAGCAAGCCGGCACTTACCTCCCGACGGCTCTATCACCTCCTTCCCCTCATCCTCCTCTGGGGAAGATGAGAAGAGAGGTGGGAGGAAAGAAAGGCAGGCGATGAAGAGAAGGGGGAGAGCAAAAGGGAGAGAAAGATCCATTAACAGAGATTACTTCTTGAGAGAGAATCCGCTGAGAAAAGGGTGGGGGAGCAGGGGTGAGGCTGATAGAGCGGTGACTCTCCACACAAGTGCCCCGAGGGGTGGGGTGAGATCCACTCTGACAGGACCCCGGGTTCCAGGGCGCCACCTGTGTGTGGTGGCGAGGTGCTCGGGGCTCTCAGGAGCTGCAGGCCCGGCCCCCGTGGCTCTAAGTCCGAGCCATCCCGGTCACAGCCGCTGCCCGGGGCTCTCTCAGGCTGGGTCTCACGCAGGGGTGTCCTGGCCTGGTGAGAGGCCGCCCCACCCCCTCTGCTGTGCCCGTGTCCCTGACCATGCAGAACCTCCGGGGTGGGAGGCTGTGCCCGGCCGTGTGTCCGTGGGGGTCACACACATGCCACTGCGCGCCTACCTGGCAGGATCAGTCTTCTGGTGACTAAGGAAAAGAAGCCACGTTGCCCCAGAGTCCCAGCCCGGCCCTCACACCTGAGTCTAGAGCAAGTTCTGAACTCAGCCTGCCAGAAATAGCTACTGAGGGCCCAGGCCCCCGCGCTTCTTCCCCCACAGGAAGGAGAGGAGCTGGGAGATGTGACCAGGAAGTGGGAGGCATGAGTGTGTGGGGGCATGCCTGCATGTGTGTGCACATGTGTGTTGCGTACACGAGTGTCTGAACACCAGGGCACGGGGCAGCCTGGTTTCTGGCAGAGAGCTGGCCAACTCCAAAGAAACCGAGGCCAGGCCTCATATCCCCGAGTCAGAGGACGCTGGGGGTGGTGCTGACCCCACATGTCAATGGGAAGGAAGGCTGCAAAGGGGCCTCCCCCCTCCCCAACCCAGACCTCAGCATGGGCACAAACCCAGGCTGCCAACTTGTGTCCAGGAAGGTCTGGATAACCCACCACCTCTGGGCCCCGCCCAGGACCACAGGGGTCCTCCGAGTCCCCACTCCTCCCGCTGGCCTCCCCACCGGCTCCCTTCCTGCCAGAGACACTCACCGCCCTTGGGGTGCAACAGGATCTCTGCCGGGTTGTGGGGTTTCAGGCCCAGAGCAGACAGGGGTGTCTTGGCCAGACCTGGAGGGGAGCGCACTGTGCGGGAAAGAAGAGGGGAGGCATGGGGAGTGAGCCAGGAGTGCAGGGGAGGAGGGCACGAGGGAGGGTACCCATGGGTGAGGGCTTGTTGGGGAGGAATGGGCCACAGGAGCGGGGACAGAGGAACCAGTCCCAGCCCAGGAGCGCTGCTGTGGCTACACTGCCCTGCCCTGTTTGGTGTTCCTCTGCAGTGCGAAGGTAAACTGAGTCGGATACGGAGTCCCTGTCCCAGCCTTGCCTCTCCAACTTGAGAAAATCCTTCCTTTCCCTAAGCCATGATTTAACATACATGCAGGTTACTTTGGCTATCTGATTTTTCACATGTTATTCCCTCTTCCTCCTCCTCTTCTCTCTCCCCCATCCCCCCGACATATAATCTTTCTAAGCCAGGCACTTAGATGGACTTAGAGAACAAAGGAAAATGGAGCATCCAGAGGGCACATCCTGTCATGAACAGATGGAGGAGAAGGGGTCAGTGGAACCATGCCAACCCTGAGAGCCCAGGCCAGTGGCAGCCAAAGGTCTTTGACTACCAGCCAAGCATGTCCCTTGCACACACCCAGGCAGAATTTCTCAGCATGGGGCCCTCTGTTCCCCTAAACCTCAGTGTTCTAGAAGAGGCAGAAGCCCAATCTCCACAGTCCTCGGGCCAGAGCACCAGCTCCCTGCACTAACCTCAGGTTCCTCCCGAGTCACATGTCCAGGTCAGAAGTGTCACGTAACACACAAGGTCAGAGAGGGCTGCCGGGCTTTGTCCCACCAGCCAAGGAAGAGGCCAGACTTGGAGCTGATCTACCGAGAGACTGTTACACCCAGTCACGAGATTTCTCAATGGCGGCTGCCATGTATCCTAACACATCTCCAAGGAGAAGCAAGAGAAAGAGCTCTGTGTCTGCTATCCCGGTCATCAGACGCCTGCCAAGGCCATGAGCTCTGAGGACACGCAGCCACACGGATCCACCAGGCAAGGCTGCCTGACCCACACCCACAGCCTCAACAGACTAGCTGTGGCCCTCAGTTGTCCAGGACTCTCCAAAGCAGCTCTGGGACTCTCTCTGGCCCCACCTCCCTTTCCCAAAAGACAGTGAGACCTACAGGAAATCAACAAAAAATACAATCTCTCAAGGCAAGTAACATATATAACGTGTCTGTGAGAATAATGAAACATCACAGGGCTCCGGTGGGTAGCCCACTCCTGCACTCCACCTCACTTTGTCCTCAGATGCCCAAAAGATAAATACATCAGAAGGGACAACTGTGTACAAACACACAGCCGGGCACTGGGTAGGTCTAGGAGTGGGGTCAGTTGGTCCCTCCTTCTCCCTTTACACACATGCACAGAAGTGTCTTGCCATCGACACTTATCAAGCACATATCAATGTTTGTCACCCAATGGATTTCCATGCCCAGCCTCAGAGGCCAAGAAGAACCTGAAGGCTCTGCAGGCCGCAAGTGTGAGAGGTTTCTCTCCTTTCCCCTCATGCATCTCCAGCTCCCTCCTTGCTCGTGTCCCAGTCTGCAGGACCTGGCCCTTCTCTGAGGCGGGCCAGTGGGTGGCCTAAAGCCAGGCCAAGCTTTTGCTTCGGGGAGAATTCCTCACATTTCTCCGCCTCTGCCCTCTCTCCCAGCCCTGTGCATGGGTGAAACCTCTGACTTATTCTCCCCTCCCCCTCCAGGGCACCCAGGACTGACCAAGGGAAGAGAGAGAGAAAACGGGAGCATGAACAAGTGGTAAAACCCAACCCAAGCTCAGCCTACAGGGCTTCCGTCCCAAACAGGAGGATGGCCAAGATCTTAGCTGTTTGGACCGATAGGGAAGTAAAGTACGAGTGAAGGTGAAGGGTAAGGCCAGGGACAGAGACTTCACGGAGTCATAAAAGGCCACAGAGCTGCCTCCTGCGTAGATCGCCCAGGGCTCCCACTGTCCCATAGGGTCGCCATGAGCCACACGGGGCTAGGAAGAACTTGCAATGTGGCCAGTCTGAACTGAGAGCTGTACACACCCAGATTTCAAAGATTTAGTGTGAAACAGGAGCACAAAGTATCTCAATATCTACCATTCCATGTTGAAATAATAATATTTTACATCTCTGGGGTTAAATAAAATCTATTATTAAAATCCGTTTCACTGGTTTCTTTTTATATTTTTTAGAGACTGAAAAATGCCTCATTACTATTTTTATAGTGATTTACCTGTTGAGATGATAATATTTTGGAGACTTGGGGTTAAGTAAAAAAGATCATTAAACTTAATTTCTCCAGTTTCTCAATATGTTTTTTAAACGTGGCTATTTAAAAAGTTTAAATAATAGACGTGGCTCGCGTTAGATTGCCTTTGGACTGCACTGCTCTAGGGAGAGCCACGGCCTCCAGTCATGACGTCAGCCTCCCGCACACCCCAGAGAGCAGGCGACACAGGTTCTGGTGGAGCGAGGGCCTGGTTCTGGTGGCAGCCACCAGGAGAACGCAGGGCCCAGCCTGCTCTCCTCCTCACACCCCCCACCTCATGGGGCAAATGCCTAGACAGCTTGGGCCCAGCCCAGCCAACCCATCTCAGAGCAACACCAGCCCCCGCTCTTCTGCAAACCCAGGCCTTTCCCGGGACCACTGGAGCCTTCCCAGCCCAGTGTTGTTCCTTCCCTCCTTTCCCACAACGCGTTTCTCCAAGCTCCTCAGCACCACAGAGAGGAGCACTGTCTCACCCCTGCGCTCATCCAGCCTTCTCTGTGCGTGGAGACCCCTCTGCCCTGTGGGGATTTGCCTCTCTGGTGAGTGCATAGGGGGTGCAGACTACATGCTCCTGCCTGCAGGCCACGGATGGGAGATAGGGGATTCGGTCAGCCTACGCATGCGTGGCCTTTCTCTCCTTGACAGACACTGAGTGACGAGCCCGGATGCACACAGAAATGGGCATTAGAAGCAAGAAGGCCAAAGGTTGTCCTGCTCGTCACAGAGTCACTTTAGCGAACGGGGTGTTTTGGATGGAGAATGCAAAGCCTCAACGCCTAGGAAAACTCCACACCCGGGAGCCCAGGGGCCCCTACGTCAGTCAGTGGGGCCCTAAGACTCCGTTGCTGCCTCTGTAGATGTGGGGATGTGGACCACAGAAAAGAAGGGAAATAAGGGCGGAAGGGGAAGTGACATGAGCCACAGGGTGATTAGGGTCAGACGGTAGCTCTGCTCAAATCTGCCAGCACCCCCCACCCCAAACCTGGGGTGCTTCCAGAGGCAGGGGCTGAACGGGGATCGAGGGGACCCAAGGAAGACAGGCTTAGTGGGGATCGCTTACCCCCACTGGGCGGTGGGCTGGACGGAGCGGTTCCTTCCATCTCCTCGAAGGCCTCTTTGTAGCTGTGCAAGTGGGGCTGAGGGAGAAAAACAAGGGAGGAAAGGGGGTACACTAGCAGCCACAGCCTTGAGAAGGAGGTGTTTCCCCGTTAACCAGGCCACAAAGCCCCTCGCCAACCCGGCCCTCCACCCCTGCCAGGTGAACAGAGATCAAAGACAGAGACTGCCCACATTCGTGGCCCCTACAACCCCTTGTAGCCAAGAGAACGGAACATGGTGATTTTGCCAGGCCATTTGTAAGGCACAGGCGGAATTCAGGAGCACCTGCTTTGGAAATATTTCAAACCGGGCAGAAGTGAAGGGCTGGGGGACAGGGGACACGGGTCCAAGCAGAAGGCAGGAGAGGAAAGATGTCCAAGTGCCATTCATGTCCAGGATGACTCAGCCTGGATTTTATCAGACATGGACTATGCGCATCAGAACCTTCCAGAGTACACGTTGAGCATGCAGGTTCCCTGTCCCAGAGCTAACATGCTGGAACCTCTGGAGGTGGATTCAGGAGTCTACAATTTAACAAACTGTCGGTGATCACTATCCACGTTGAAGTTTAAGACCCAATGCCTCAGCCTTAACCGGTGTGGCTCAATAGATAGAGCATCGGCCTGTGGACTCAAGGGTCCCAGATTCGATTCCGGTCAAGGGCATGTACCTTGGTTTCGGGCACATACCCAGTGGGGAGTGTGCATGAGGCAGCTGATCAATGTTTCTCTCTTTCTCTCTCTCTAATTTTTCTAACTCTCTGTATCTCTCCCTTCCTCTCTGGGGAAAAAAAAAAAAAAAATATATATATATATATATATATATATATATATATACACACACACACACACACACACACATATACATATACATATACATATATATACATATACATACATATATATATATATATATATATATATATATATATATATATATATATAAAAGACCCAATGCCTCCAACCTCAAACCACTGAAATATGTCAGCAATGCAAAGGTTTGGGCATTGAAGTTAGATCTCCAGGGGAAACCCTATGCCTAGAAAGGGCTCCAAAACACTTTGTCAGGCTGTATGATCTGGTTTGAAATTCACAGACTGTGGTCCCTGTGTCACACCGGGATCCTTACCAAGCTCTCAGGGAGCTCTTCAGGAGTCAAGAAGGGAACTCAATCCCTGTTAATGGGAGCTGCAGGGATATAAAAGCTATTTAGGGAAGGAAATGGAGCTCCAGGTTCCACATGCGGGAACCCTGGGTGAGAATGCGGGGAGGAAAACAATCACCAGCTTATTGACAGGTGCATGCTGCCCGGTTGACCATCATGTTGCTGGGGCATTCAGATGGGCTCTGCTACTTTCTGTGGCCCCAGGATGTGGCCTAAGGACTCACCTCTTTGGGCCGCCCTCCAGGATTGAGAGCAATCGTGAGAGCCAGCTCTGGGGACACGCACTGGACTGGGGAGCGCACCCCAGGACTCCGGGGGGAGGAGGGTTCTGGAGACTGGTTCTCATACTGTCCATCGCTGGCTGCCCGCCTCCGGAGAAGGGCTGGGGGCTCTGCAGGCTGCTGCTTCTCCCGAGCCTGGACCCCTGGGAGGAACGGCAGGGCAGAGAGGGCCATGAGCATATCGTATGAGAAAGGACCGATGGGGCCTGATTCCCCGGAGGAGACAGTGCACTCTCAGGGACCATGCTGGAGCTGGGCCTGCCTCTCCTCTGCACCACCACCCCTCCCCCCGCCTCCCTCTGCCCACACCCTGCAGGGCGGGGGGGGGGGGGGGGGGGAGACCCTGCTTCAGTTGGGCTGGCCTTCACCAGGAATCTACTCCGCACAGGGCTGGGGCCCAGAACACAAAGGACTGATACAAGAAACAGATGTCAACTCCTTCCAAGGCCTGGAGGCAGAGGGCCAGGGCTTCCAGGCAAATGAGGGAAGGTGGAGGGAGGAGAGACAGTCTCCAAGGCGACTGATCAACCAACAAGCAACATCAGGCCCATGGGGAAGGACTTTTGGAAAGAGTGCATAATGCATCATCTTGCAAATGGTGCTCCCGAGAAGAAACAAAGAAGTGACTAAGTCCTGTTATAAAGTCTCCAGCCCAAATTGGCCCCTAGAATACTGCTGACCTTCTCCAGGGTTCCCCAACCTCATCTAGTACACTTCTGAAACCTCTTCCCAGCTTCCCTTATGCCTGTCCTTAGCTGCCCACCCCTTTCTTGCTCCCAAAATGGTCCAAGTTCCTATCCTGCCCCTCCCAGCAGAATAGCCTGCAGAGCTGGAGTCGTGAGCTCCATCTGCTTTTCTGTTCTTCCTTCCATTCCTCAGGCCTGGGGATGCTGTTAACCCCACCCTCCTTCCCTCCCACTCTCTCTTCCCACAGCTGGGCTGAGGCACGGAACACATTGCCTCACCGAGCTGGCTCCAGAATCTTAGAAAACGTACCCCCGAGTCCCAGAGACCAAGATCCAAGCTGCTGGTCATGATCAGCTGGTGCCAGCTCTCAGCCCTGCCCTCACCCCCAACCCCCAAGAGCAAGGAGGTGCTGGGACTTACCAAAGGTGACATGGGACTGAGACCCTAGCCATACCAGCCCCATGCCAGCACACCTGGGAACCCTGTCCCATGGCACATGTGCACACATACACAGACACCTCTACACACATACACGTACACGCACCACACACACACACACACACACACACACACACACACACACACTGCTGGCCCTAAGGAACATGCTGATGCAGCTAAGCAGCAATCACCCTCCTTCAGATTGAATCACCTACCACCCAGATGGGCTCTGCACACCAAGGGCGGCCTCCCAGCTCCCGTCTGGCACGGCCGCGGAGGCTGCCATGAGCAGTATGTGCTGGGAAGCCTTCCTACCTGCCATGAATAGTAGGCTGCCTGCTGCCAACTCCAGGGATGGGCACATACACACATGCACTCAGACACACTCCCATCATATTTGCCCGTAGTTAGGGGCCCCATCTGGAGAGCCGCCAGACCGGCACACACACTCACAGATGCAGAAGGTACCCAGTGGTGTTTCGAGTCTACACACGGAACTATTTATTGTTAGAGGGCAGCCTGCCTGCCACCTCAACTAAGACAGAAGAGCCCAAATGGGGACAGTAATCTGGACTCACAAACTGCTTTACTTATAAAAATAAGCCCCTCACTTTGAAGTGTCCTGACTTTCGGAACAGAAACTTGGGGATCATATCATCCTACCCAGGGGCCCGATGAAAGATGGGGCGCATCTCCAAAAGTCCAGAGCAGCGCACAGGGCCCCACTGCACACCAGGCCCTCAGCCCTCAGAGCAACCGCCTGCACCTCCCACCAGGGGGAGCGGGCGCCCCTACCCTGGGCTGAGCTTCTCTCTCTCCCTCTGAGCCCTCTTCCCCTCAGTCTTACTGGGCGCTCGGTCCAGAACTACTGCTGGTTTCACTCCTGGCAAAAACATCAGAGAGAAACAGACATAGCCATTGATTTTCTAATAATAATTGTGACAAAGGAGGCCCATTTGGAAAAGGCTCTCGGGGGTTGGAACTGAGTTCAGCCCCAAGGTTAGCAGAAATGCATTAGGGCCGTTTCAGTTCCGGCCGGCCCAGCCCTGCAGCCTCTTCCTGGCAGGTCCCTGGGCCTCGGTGAGGAGTGGCCAGTCTCCCCGTGTGGGATCTGGTGTCTGCCCTTGAAAGCGGGTCTGCTGGAGGCACTGAATTTCACAGAGGAACAAGAGCCTTCACCCCAGGATGCTCATGACAACCTCCATGTTCAGGGGGTTGCAATGCCCGGACGGAGGCTGGGCAGCTGGAGGAGCTTACCGACTGTGAAGGGCGGAAGGCTGTCGGACACCTGAGAGCCATCTCCCCTCCTCATGGCACGTGGGGGCGTGGTCTGTCCAGAGGCAGAGGGACAACCAGAATGCCCTCCACAGAGCTGGGGCGCTCAGAGGAGCCTGCCTCTGCAGGAGGGGAAGACCCCCGCATTCCACTCCCATGGGACAGCCCCTCCCCCGCAGAGCGCCCCACGGCACCAGTGCCAGCCAGGGCCTCTCACATTCTTTGAACACAGTGTCTCACTGTTGTCCCCCTTGGCAGGCCCAGATCTGCCCCTCGGTGCCCGGAGAGCCATGTTCCCTCTCTCGTCTGTCCCGATGGGAGGGGAGCTGAAGCTGGGCGGAGGGAGAGAAGAGAGCCCCATTGTTCCCCAGCCAAGCTGGGCCGTCTGGACACAGGCTGACAGCCAGTGTCAGGGAGAGAACAGCCCTCCCTCACGTCCTGGAAACAGACCGATAGTAAAAATAGGCCTGCTCCCCATTCACCCCCAGGGCCCTCTCTCCCTCAGGACCACCATGCCTGTGTGCTCCACTCTGCACGCACACAGGCACCACGCACATAGACGTACACACACACGTGTGTGCACACAGAGCCTTCACCCAACAGGAACAGCGGGAGGCCAGGGTCACCCTCAGAACCTCTCGTCAGCCCCTTCACAGGGCAATCACGTGTTCTTTAGGATAACGATGGGCCACACTCAGAGCCTTTGTCATCCTCTCAGGGATCACACACCATGGGCACTGGGCCTTCCCCACTGCCTGCAGGACAGGGGTCACTTCAGCCCAGGGCCTCCACATGAGCTGCCAGATCTGAAGAGCAGGGCACTGGAACAGCACCATTTCCCAGGGGTCCTCACTCGGCTCCCTGGGACAGTACTGAGCTTGGGAGCAGCTGGCTGCAAGGTTCCTCCCTTAAGTGGGCTGGACCTATGACACTAAATCCACCTCATCTAGTACACACACACTCATATTCTCACACACACACTCATACACACACACACTCACACATAATCATACACACACACACAAACACGCACATGCACACGCACACACACATGCACACACAAACATGTACTGCAATTCTGGGGCTGTAGAATCAATACACATCCTCTGGCCCTGACCGCCCCTGGCCCCACAGACAAATATCCCAGCGTCAGGCTCCATCACAGGCCTTCCCTTCAAACCCATCCTGGCCGCTTCCACCCCACAGACCCATCTTCCTTCCAGCCTTCCAATTTCCAGAAGACTGGGTTCCTCAGCTCCAGGTGGCGGGGCAGGTCCGATGGCATGCCGGGGCTCTGGAAGTGAGGGGATCCGGGAGGCCACCTGCTGGGCCAGGGCACCAGAAAGCCACACGGCGATCACACTAGCAGCCCCAGGGCAAGCCATGCCAGCTCCCCTCAGGACAGGCCCACCACCCCAGAACGCCCCGAACCCCGGGTCCAGCTGAACCCTGCACTCCCCACCACTGGGCCGAGAAAAAGGAGGAGGGAGAGGAGAGGAGGCAGACAGGGGCATTCTGCTAGAGCCATCTCCCCATTTTCCATGGACTGGGAGAAGGGAGGTCCCGGAAATACCAGATATTACCATTGGGAGTCAACTGTGGCCACCACCCCCTAATAAGCCTTTTCCCAGAACTAGTCAAGGTCACGGCATCTTCTCCTGGATCCAGACCTGTGGCTCCGAGGAGCAGGAAAAGAATATGGTGACTTGGTCCCCAGGTCTAAAAGGTATAGGCCCATTTGTCAAGAGACCAGGTAGACATAGTGAACCCTATCACTCTCAAACTGAGCAATCTGGCCCTTGGGGAAGGGTCCACATGTTAGGAAGCAGGGCAGCACTCCATTTTTCACGTGGGGGAGCTTAGCTCTGAGTAATGAAGAGACTTGCCCAGGGTCACAGAGGTGGTCATATCAGACCCAGGACCACACCCAGGGCTTCTGGCTCTTGGCCGTGAGTATCAGAGATTTGGAATGAGGTCACAGCGGTGCTCTGTGCCCAGGGAGTGCTATACTCAGGAATGGACAGAGCGGTGGGGGCTGGGCACCACTCTTTCCTGCTGAGGCGCCAGATCTGGTGCTGAGCTCCCTCTTGTCCACAGGGAGCCTGAGAGTTAGTCTCCTTACCCCAGACCCTGTTCCTAGCAGGTAAGGCCAAGGCTGAAAGCATCAGGCCTGTGTCCATGCAGAAGTGGGAGCACTCACTCATGCAGAAGGAGGGAGGGAGGACAAGTGGGCAAGGAGAGAGATGGGTGCAGTGAGAAAAGGAGAGAGTGGCAGCAAGAATAGGAAAGAAATGGAAAGAAGAGAACAGAAGGAGAAGAAAAGTGAGGAGGAGATGGAAAAATAAGGAGAGAGGAAGAAAGTGGCAAGAGTATGGAAGCAATAGTTTATGAAAGAGGAGGGGAAAAGAGAAACCGAGAGTTGAGATGAGGACCATGGAGTTATAAAGGGGAGAGGAGAGGAGAGGAGAGGAACCAACCAGAGAGGGAGGAAGATCGGAGCCGGTGGAGAGGAGGGCGCCAGTAGCTGACATTTAGCCCAAGATCCTGCAATCTGGCATTGTACGCTGCCCACACCACCCCGGGGGAGCCGGCAGGGAGGGAGGCAAGCAGGAAGGGAAGGGATGACACCAGGCAGGGAAGGCACCACACCCATAGCACAGGGGACAGGTGGACATGGGACAACGAAGAACGCCAGGAACGAGGCATTAAACAAGACAAAACAAAACAAAAACAAAGAGAAAAT